ACTTTATATTTGTGACGTGGTTTTAATTAATGACACATTTATTTATTTAATTCCACATTTAATTAATTATTGACACATTTAATTATTTATTTATTGCTGTATTTATTTATTTAATTGTGGCACTTTATATTTGTGACGTGGTTTTAATTAATGACACATTTATTTATTTAATTCCACATTTAATTAATTATTGACACATTTAATTATTTATTTATTGCTGTATTTATTTATTTAATTTTGGCACTTTTTATCCTCCATAGCCAGTGACGAATGATTGCTCTTCTTCTAATCATTCGTCGGCCTTCATTAGCTTTGTTTGAAGGATGAAACCTCTGCTTGGATCCTTTGTCTTTCCTGTCCAGGTGCGACAGTAAAGGGATTCTGACTATCATATTAAAAACCCTCTGTGTGAAGAGCAACATAATCAGATTTTTCTATCTTTGTAATACAAATATTCCTCACCAAAGGATCTTAAAAGTCTCTGTTAATTTAGTTTTCATTGACCTTGTATACAGCATTTGTATTCAGAGATTATATGATTTCCTCTGAGTTTGGTTTCTAGAAAGGCCTTTTTTTTGTCACACTAATTTGTTTAAAGCTAAAGATATCAGAAAATGCTTTGATGTCTTTTAAACTGCCTTGAATTTTAACCTGAATGATTCTAATTTAGTTTATTTTTCTTTAGCACAATGTTGTGAACCAAAAACTTTTATTGTGACACTTTTTTTCCGAACGTCTTCTTTCAGTTTTAGGTATGGCGGCGTGAAGGCCGCTATAAAACTGAAAGCTAAAAATGAAGCCGACAGGTTTTGAATTTAGACGTAGAATGTAGCTTTAACTGTTATTTAAGTTTTCTGATGTTTGTTTTTGTATTTTTGAGTACCAGAAAACATCTTCTAAACCAAAGTGAGCAACGAGATTCTATATTTTATGGTGTTGAACTGTTGCAACGAGCTTTTTTTGATACTCAAGCTTATAAAGATTAGATAATAAAAATGTTCTTGAGAAAAAATATATTTGTGTTTTCTTTTTTTTGGGGGGGGGACTGTTTGAAAGGAAACTTAAAAGTGTGACCCAAATGACTACAGTTGGTTTAATGATAATTGAACTTTATTGATCTCACATTGGAGAAATGTACCTTCCCATTTAAAGGAATAGTACACCCAAAACATGATTAGCCTTCATTTTCTACTCACCCCCATGCTGAACAACACTCTGGAGTACTTTTTTGA